ACAGTTGTCCTTGAAATTTTAAATTATAATCGCGTTGATTCAGGCTTCCTATTCGACTCGTCCGCCGACACGGAGAATCGATCACGGCGTGCAATCGAACCGTAACGACTTCTATTTTAAGACTGCCTGTTACACCATTGCATAAATTCTCAACAAAAAACTGTCGCTTCGAATCAAGTAAGTATTTTTGAGTACAATTCAAATTGAGAAATGTCCCTGAAGAACCATGTTCTCATATTTATTAATTCGTCGCGTTTTACGAACAGAGTGTTTCGCAGTTAGTTGCTACAATGGCTTGGGATGCGAAATTGAAGCGAAGCAATTTTGAAAAAGGGCACAGGCTCCCGGAAGCTTTAACCAGAACGGAGCAGTAATGTATTCACGTGAGATAACGGTTCCTCCAGTGGAAAGAAAACGGTTTCTCGTTTGGTTCAAGTCAGAGTCAGCTACTGTCAAGGCTTAAGAAAGTGGTCTTCTGGAAAGAAGATTTCTAGGACACCGTTTTTATTATTGTTATCGACACGAATAATCCAGACGGAACGATCGGCCAGGAAGTCAGGAAAGTCGACTACAAATCTTCAAATTTACGGAACGACAATTTTCCTCCTGAAACAGGGAAGGCAAACGACGGTGACAAAAATGAGAGAGAAATTCTCGCAAACTCAAGATATTTTTGCACCTACTTGCATGTACCGTTGCTTCTCGAGGTGCGAGCGAGAAGCGTGGAGTTCCGCGAGGGACGATACTTATGTATACACTAACAATAAGACTATTTTTGCGCGAACTAACGTGTTTCTATCTAAGAGAGCTATGCACGTTTCCTCATACGATAAATATTTATCTCCGTTATAGTCATTCGGAGATCAAGAGAACGCTCTTCCTCGTCTAATATCCCTGCGAATAAGTATCCACCGTGTTTGTTTTGTTTAACATACGCGCCCGGTTCTGTTTATCCTTGCATTAAAGAACTCAAGCGAACCGACTTGGCGTGCAACAACAGCAATTGCTCATCTTTACTTATTCATCATTAAAATGGTCATCAACATTTACTTATCGCTGAGTAATTAATCTCGCGAAATGACGACGAGGACGCGACGTCTACTATCGATGCGTAGGAGTTTCGAAAACGGATGCGGCGATGAAAAATGCGATAGCACGGGACTAAGTAGAAGATTCCGTCGATCACCGCCGACTTTATTTCGCCGGTGGAAGGAATCTTGCAATCGACTCAACGACGTTACGTCACTGACCGGCTTACCTTTCGTAACCTGGACCACAAGTTCTTCTCTCTTTCTCGATCCAATCGCGATTACGCGTTGCACAATGCCTGGGAGAGCTCTTTAGTACCGGCGAACCGTTCGCCGCGTACATATAATATTTAAGAAAATGCCACCGATTAATGTGAGTCACTTTTGTCTCGCGTTCCATTTCGTCTCATCTGTTCGTGTCTTAAGTTTTCGAACAAACCGATGAACTTAATATGCATAACATGGATTTATATATTGTTGGATGCCTAACTGTTTACCTCCTAGCTGTCTCTAGTTTTAAGAAATGTACAAAACAACTGAGTCACAGGGCTTGGAGTGACCCTCTCCTCCTTACAGTTAAGGTATGCATAAAATAAATCATATCATCATAACATTAGGTCCTCTTTGATCGACTAAAGTATTTGCTTATCATATTTTATAATAAATTTTGGTAAGACAAGTATGTGACTCCCATGAATTGAATGAAGCTTTCGCATTCTGATTGTTACGCGTTAGAAAAGGAAATAACAGGAACTGTCGTGTTAGAAATAACTTGAAGTGTTCCCCTTTGCTGTACGGTAACTGACAATTAGTTTCATTAGCAAACGATTTACATTTCTCGATCGTCCCGTCCAGTGATCATACACATGGTTCCTCAATTCATTAACCTCCTTATTCATTAAATTCATTGACCTCAGCAAGAATAATTCAACGTTTACTATCACTGATTATTCCGTTCTTATGAAACTCTACGTATATTAATTGATAGTTAACGATACACGTTTTAAATCATAGGCTAGAGATTTGTATGTTTTTATGATCATGGTGAATGTTCAATGTACAAAATATTAGAAGCTGAATTCTGTAAATTCTGTAAATTTTATATTTTGTCTTAAACCGACCTATCGATTACTGAAAAAGGAATCGAAACTCTAACAGAAGTAAGGATCCCACGCTCTTTCAGCTTGGGAAACGCGCACACCTGTCGGTTCAGGGCTGGCCATTAATAATGCCTGAATCGAGCCCAATTCCAGTGAAAATTGTTTCACCTATTGTCACGTAGCTTACGTAACGCTCGTTTATTCCACCAGTTGTCCTCGATGAACGAACCTCCGCGATCGACCCTCGACGCTTTTACATGGCCACCTTTGCCTACGGGTTTAGAATTCGAAAATATACTCTGCCCTTGCCGGGAACTATCGTCATATCGTGCGGGAAAGGCCTGGCATTTCCACGAAGAACGATCTATCGATTTTACAAATTAACACAAATGTACAGAACATTTGTGTTTACTCTTATACCGAGTCATGCTCATCTTCCAACTTCCACTTTAAGGATGTATTGATAGTCAATCCGAAAAGTTTATGTACCGAAAAGGTAGCTAATTAATTCCTACTGGAATCTATAATGCTATCATCGTTTAAGTACATAGCCTATACATCCTTAAACACACAGGAGGAATCAGTAAGAATTACCAATTGAAATAAACGATTCTCGTTTGATAAAAATACATTTTCTAGCCAGTTGCTAAGTTCAAATCAAAATTTACAATATCTTCCAAGGCTCTAGCATCGCAAGATCAATACATTAAGATAACTTCAATGTACATAAGTTTCTTTTTCCTTAAAGATGTATTGGCTATACAGTCAATCCCAGAAATTTATGCAGTTTAGAAATGCATTTTTTAAAAAGAAATCAAACGTCGGAAGAATATTGCTAATAATAAACAACAACAAAAAATTTTCGTTTTTTCCGACATTTTTCCAAAACATATAAAGATTCCTCGAAACTTGTAATTGTAATACAACAATTGACAATAGGAATTATCGAAGATTCATCGTAACTGCATGTGTTTAAAATAACAATAAATCAATAATAATAATGGTTCATCGATGAAGTGCAGATGAAATAGCGTCATAGATCGTTATCATCGTCGCTCTGATTAATCGGTTTTTCATGAACAATTGGACACGTGCTCGGTACGTATCATTGTCACGGCATGGTCCGTGGCACGGTTCGAATGAGATCCAAGGCACGCACGCAAGGCTAACAGAAACTAGACCTACGCGTAATGAACGTACTCGCCGATCCGCACATACGATTTTAATGAATTTATTTAGGGTACACGCATAAACCAGCGGTAACCAGTAATAGAATATCTTTTTATATAAGAAAACTAATAAAGAATCGTGCAGTAAACCGTATCATTAACCTTTCAGAACCTTTCATAATTTATGTTTCTGGAGTTCTGGCGAATAAGAAAATTAAATTATACTTAGAGTACTCGACACTAGTTTAAATTTTTTCTTTTAGATTTTTCCATTACAAATTGAAATAATAAAAAATTTCCAAAGATCCACAGGTGGCACACGAGGATACAAGAGAATAAAGACTTATTTTAATTGATAAAAGAAATTGCTTTGAAATTGCACGTGGCTGCTATGGACTCAGTGATTGAAACGTAGAAAGAAAATTTCGTGGGTGGCAATTAGATCGCGAGACGATCAAGATCCGATCAATTATCCCTCGGTTAAATGACTCAGAGTGACCTGGCCAAGCGGTCAAGGTAACGTTTCGTAACGACGGGTGCTTTCACACCTGCATACCAATTACGACGAGCAACAGGTAGGAGGATCATCATCTTTTTTTTCTTCTTACGCGCGCCTGTAACCTACTTTCGATCTGATCGGGTCGGATCGCGAGTCAAATGGTTTCGTCGTTAATTATCCCACGATATTTGCGAAACGAAACTCGCCTGCACTCGAGTCGAGGAACGAACAAACAACTTTCTCATGCAAGCATTCTAAGCAGTTTGCAGATTTAAGAACGCGTTGAAAATATAAAAAACGTGTACATTATATAAAAAAAAAATGCTCAGGCGATAAAAGATAGCAGACTTTTTATAAATGATAGATAAAAATGTTATTTTGCATGAAACCCGGTAATCGTCATTAGTTTAATTCGTCAACGAGGATATACGTTTGGCGACTCGGAGGAGTTTCTGGTTTGCCTCGTGGCAAGAATCGTCGGGATCGCCTGGGACGACGCGTGAATTTTGACGACCGTTCAAACGCCAAAACGAATACTAATCCCGCGAAAATTAGATGAAACGCAGGCGAGACACGTACATGAGTTTGTACATCAACCGTGCGAGATACGATCTCCGGTTCTCCGCCTCGTCTTTTTCCCTCCAGTGCCGTTTCTAATTAGAATGTTAATTACACGAGTGTAACGAACTTGACGGATGGAACGTAACTCTTAAGGATGTATTGGCTATACAGTCAATCAGAAAAGTTGATGTACCTTAGAAAAACGCATTTCCTATAATTAAAAACAAATCAAATGTCGGAAGAAC